TATTTCATTTTGTTTTTTGGTTTTATACTCTAAATCTTCTTTTGTTAACGGCTCTTCAAATTTGATTCCAACTATTTTGATTTTCAGTTTTCTCAATACTTTTCTATTGCATAAGCATTTCCCATCCGTTTCGAAATTTCTTCTCTCAATTTGAGAGAGTCTTTTTCATTATCACATTCAATTTTAACATGCCCATTTTTTAAACCATGGATTTTATTAATTTTCACTTCAAGTACTGCTGGATCGATATCTTCTTCCAAGTCGCGGATCGTTTTAGTTATCCCTTAAGCACATTTTGGTTTTATTGAGATATCATTTTGTGTAGTATCCACTGAAACATGATTTTGTCCCATACTAGACTTCAAGACATCAGAATAACTGGGTTTCAGGGAAGAAATTTGATTTTCCAGATCAGATATTTTGGTTAATACCACACTGAGAATATCTTCACTGACGGGTTTCCTGATGAAGTTATCAAATATATATTTACAGTCTTCACACATCCAAATTGCAATTCCCTTTATTCAAATGATTTTTTTTTTCTTGGGTCGGCGAATATGAAAACATTGTTTACATTTTCCTTCACACTTGATAAAATGTTCATTTTTAATTTGATTGCACTTAGTACAAAAGCTTGCACAATTTGATGGGCCAGAATTTTCTATATCTTGAGTAGATGGAAGTATATAGTTTTGCATTAAAATTTTGAATCTTTGATCTTCTGGATATTTAGGAAGATTATATGGATGACTTTCTTCATCGGAATTCTCACTATTCCAGTCCTTTGATGTCTGCAATAGTTGATTTTTGTTATAATTCACTCGAATCATTTTGACTAGGCTATATTCCACTAAATTTTTGTTAATTATGTCACTGTTATTGTCAATTTGCACTTTGATACAAATGCTTTCATGAAACTGCACTGATTTGCGTATATTTTTCTTTCTAGATGAACTCTAACCTGTAGTAAGTAACAAAATCCTCTTCAACGATGTATTTGAAAATTCTAGTTTTTCACTTTCATTTTTCTGCTTCAAGAATGCTATTACCTTGAAATATTCACTTGTATTAACACCATTTATAACGAGCACATTCGACTTTATCATTGAATAATTGAATAGAACTGACCGATACTTGATGAAAATCCATATTAAAAAAACTAATTAATATAGTTCATTGTATGATTTTCACTATAAAGGGTTTTACAAAAACCGCGACACGTGTTTCGCTATACAATAGTAGCTTTCTCAAGCATCAACTGCATAACTGTTTATGCTTGAGAAAGCTATTGTATAGCGAAACACGTGTTGCGGTTTTTGTAAAACCCTTCAGGTAGGTATAGTAAAAATCATACAATAATCTGTATTAATTAGTTTTTTATCATTGAAAAATTGCTCCATAAAGTTGACGAGTTACATATTTTTAGTTTCTCTTCTAGATAGGTTAAGAAAACGGTTTTGCTGAAATTTCTTTCGACGTTTTTTTTACACCAGCTAAGAAAATTAGAATATGCGATGTCGTACTGCTGAGCCGATTTTTTTGGTAACACTTCAATTGAAGCTCTTTTTGCAGCCTCTTCAACATCGTCAGAAACACACAATTCTTCACTAGTGTTCTTCATTATGCAAGACATTAAACACCAGCAAGGACTTTAAATGTGATTTTAGATAAAACGCGTGAGCTGTAAACAATACTGTTTGTTGGTAACCAGGTGATTCGGCGTCACCTGACACGGCCACTTCACAGCAAATGCGATAACATGAAAATAGTTAATAGACAAGAGATGTCAAAATATGTTTTCATAGAAATTCAGATGAAATTATATTGGAACATGACTTTTCATAATCTAACAACTTTCAGAAACTTAGTAATAAATGAAAAATGGACTGAGGTACTTAATTTGAAAACTGTAGATGAGACATACAATTGTTTTCACCCCATATTTCAATATTACTTCAATATTGCTTTCACATTAAAAAAGAAAAAAAATGGACAACAAAAACTCAACAACAACTCAGAAATAAAGAACCTTCATCAGATGTTATGTGAACTGTCGAAAATAGTCAAACTTACACAAAATGATTGCATCAAAGAACGTTATAAATGNCTATTTCGAATGTTGGTGAAACTGAATGTATCTGCAAACAATATGCTCTATAAAGGAGAATTACATAATCTCTGAAGTACCTAGTGATAGCAGTTTCGATGTTATTGTTATTCACATATAATTAGTTGCAATCAGATGTTGGAGACAAATAACTACTCCTACAGATTCTGTCATACTATGCAGAAAATAATGCTACTATTCTTATCAAATATCTGGTATTATAGTGAATAATCAATTAAGAAATTGAAGTAACACTGTGGTATTCAATCCCCTCAGCCGGTGGCCAACCATCACCAAAGTGAATATTTTTTATCTGTTTATGGTTTCTTTTAGAAAGTGGTCCGAAGGAAGTCATGTTTTATTTAGGAACCATTACAATAATGTGTTTGATATTGTTTTCATAGATGAAATGAAAGTTTCTGGCTTGAGAGGAAGAGGTGGAGCAGGTTTCCCTGCGGGAATGAAATGGTCTTTCATGAAAATACCAAAGGACGGCAGGCCGAAATATTTAGTAGTGAATGCCGATGAAGGAGAACCAGGTACGTGCAAAGACAGAGAGATTATGAGGCACGAACCACACAAGTTAATCGAGGGTTCTCTGATTGCTGGTAAGGCGATGGGGGCCAAAGCAGCATACATTTACGTCAGAGGCGAATTTTATAACGAAGCTTCTAATATGCAAGTTGCTATTGCAGAGGTTAGTCTGTTTGTTAAATAATCATACCATATATAATTTTTTGTACAACTGTCATTAAAAGTGACATTTTTAATGGTTGTTAAGAATATCAAAAGATGATGTTTAGGAAGTAGCGTGTTGAAAATATTTTTAACACGAATTCTTTTTGACCAAATAGCAATTATTCAATTTCCAAGGAAGTTTTATCATGAACAATAGATGTAGGTAGATAGAATTAAATTTTGTTACAAATGTATAATATACATTAATTGAATTATCATTTATGAACATTAATATGAAGAGTACAATTAAAACAACTGCTGATATTAATATCTTGCGATGTTGAAGAGCCTTGTAATATATTTGAACTAGCTGAGTTGACAATTTCATTGGCATTAACATTCAATTTTTGAAGTGAAAAGAATGATGCTGTAACGCTGGAGCTAGCTATTGGGGTCTGTGAGGACTGGGGTATATATCAAGCCAACCTCAGAGAGTTCAAAAAAGTCTGCAGACGGAAGCAAAGAGAAGTCTGGAGAGCCTATTGTGAGGCAGTCGAAGACTTTCCACTAGCTTCTAGGCTACAGAAGGCACTCTCAAATGACCACCATAAGACTATCGGCATCCTGACGAGGGAAAATGGCGACAAAGCCGCCAACCTCCGGGAGAGTGCTGAGATTCTTATGGAAACTCACTTCCCAGGTTCTGTCTTTCCTGGAACGACGAACTGGATGGATGTACCAACAACACCCTCACAATACGACTGGCAATATACTAGTGCAGTAATTGATGAGGACAAAATAAGATGGGCTATATCGGGCTTTTCCCCCTTCAAGTCACCAGGGCCTGACGGTATAAGACCAGCCCTACTTCAGTGGGGACTGGACACTCTTATGCCACACCCGGTTGGAATATTTAAAGCCTCTCTAGCTCTGAGGTATATTCCCAGTAAGTGGAGAGAAGTAAGAGTAGTATTTATACCCAAAACAAGTAGGATGGACTACACCCTACCAAAGGCATTCCGACCAATTAGTCTCACATCGTTTTTGTTAAAAACCATGGAGAGGCTATGTGAGCGGTATATAAGAGATGAATTACTTGTTAACAACCCACTTCATCCAAATCAGCATGCATATACCCCGGGAAGGTCTACTGATTCGGCCCTTCACCATGTGGTTAGCAGAATCGAGAGATCATTGGACAAGAAAGAATCCACCCTGGGTATATCAATGATATCGAGGGAGCGTTTGATAAAACAACCTTTCCAACAATTACCCAGCAACTACACTCCAGGAATATACCCCTGGTAGTAGGAGAATAGATACTCCAGATGCTCTCTAGCAGAGCAATAACTATTAATGTAGAAGACATCACAGTGAAAGGACTGGTCATGAGGGAATGTCCACCTTCGTACTATCCTCGACAAGAAGCTAACATGGAACTCTCATCTACAGAGTAGAGCAAAAAGAGCATACGTGGCTTATGAGTAATGTCGGAGGAGAGTGGGACGCGCATGGGGTCTTTCACCCCGTGTGGTCACCTGGATCTACACTGCAATAATAAGACCTATGTTAACGTATGGAGCCATTGCATGGGGACCGAAAGTTCTACAAGCAACGGCCATCCAAAAAGTATATCAAATACAGCGACTGGCT